CCTAAGTACCCCTGCATGCGCTGGTGCAGCCGCTTCCGCGGCAGAGGCAGTCAAACGGCGTAAATATTCAAACCTAGTGGGTAACTACTGTTTTGAGCCGTTTGGGGTCAAAACACTTAGGCAATGCGGTCCCAGTGCACACTCTGCCTATAAAAATATCGGCCGTAGGCTAATCGACTCTGCACGTGACCAGACGGCCCGGTGATAGTGATGCGGACGAGTACTTTGACGTCTAAATTAAGGATATAACTTTTGTTATTTACTTTATTCAATAGTTTAGTTGTAGTTAATTTTAAGTTGTAAATATTTATGTACATTTTGTATACTCCTGTAAGTCTTTCAATATTTGCCCTGAGATCACTAATCCTACGGTGAAGACCCTTCTGCCACCAAGGGACTCCCACTGGTTGATTGCTATATTCATCATTTCCTTTGATTCTAGTACCATTTTTGGCTACAGTGCACAATAAATTATGGCTTGAATTGTGCGGAAATTTATATTAGAAGATAGTGTTTTTGGGAGTATAAGGGTGTTAAAACAACTTTTTTTATGGTATCAGAGGCAAACGAGCAGACGGATCACCTGATGGTAAGCGATCAGCGCCGCCCATGGACACCCACAACACCAGAGGAGTCAAAGGTGCGATGTCGGCCTTTTAAAAAGGAATACACTCTTTTCTTGAAGGTTTGAAAACTTGTAACAGCTGCTAATTTTCTACATGATTTTAAGTTGAGGTTGTAGCGTTCATTGTATATATCTTCTAGTGCTCAGTTGGCTCGGTGACTGGTGGTAGGATTATAGAAACTACCGCTGTCTACGCAGATCATCTACGTCTGCCGAAGCATCAGGATGCTTCGAGGTAGCCCGGTGGGTCGCTAAGGCCCGTCATCTCGTGTCAAGGTGCTTGGCTTTATATTATAATTATTATATAGGATATGTGTCATGTTTAAGAAGATTTTGAAACTGCAGTAATAATGTAATCAAGTTTCTACAAGCCAATGGTTCCAGTTATCGAGTCCTTTGTCCGATTGCATAATAATATATCATGATGGTCACTGTTGCTGCATCAGTACACATGTTAATTGAGCTAGAAGCGTATAGGGAAGTGAAACCATTTGTATCAAACAAAGATGTGTTTATATTCAATAGACTTTGTGATATATATGTACATAAAAAAATATTTTGGAACACTATATTAACAAACAAAAACGTTATTTCGAGTTGAAGGAAAATTTTTGGGAAATTTTTATGTGACCAACCGTGACATTAAGGACGAAGGGTTTTTCTAGAAAAAGGTAACTAAGGACCTTCTAAATCCCTGAGAAATCTGTGTCGATTCACGCGCCAAACACCCTGTATAATAGTATAAGATTTTCTAAGTTATATATAGCTCTGAACTATAATAGGGTAGTTACCTAAATTTTATTTGAATGTCCGTCTGGTACATTAATTTAAAACTTTAGACACGTATTTTTTATTTTCTTACAAAATTAAATACTTTCGACGATATATTAATTTAAAATATGGTGTGACGTCACAGCATGTCACATTTTCGTCCCACTCTTAAACTTAGCGCCATTTTATCTAAGTTTTGCAACTTAATACAGGAAAAATAAAAAAATATGTGTGTAACATTTTTTCCTTATCTAACTGACGGACTAATTACATTTTTAATTTTGATACCCTGGAAACTACCCAATTATGATTATAAAATTTATTATCATTAACAATTTTTTATTTCGCTGACACTACTCTCCCCGAACTTTGGTATCTATATATATAAAAGAAAGTCGTGTTAGTTACACTATTTATAACTCAAGAATGGCTGAATCGATTTGGGTGCAAATTGGTGGGGAGGTAGCTTAGAACCAGGAGACGGACATAGGATACTTTTTACCCAATTCTTTTTTTTTTACTTTTTACCGAAAATCAAGAACGGGAACGGGAAATATCGGGATTGCGCGTACAAAGTCGCGGGCAGAAGCTAGTTTTCTATAAATCATTATGTTAAGAATATTATGTATACTAAATTAGGACATCTTATTTCTATGAACCAATATTACTTATCATGACTGCCTCGTTGGCCGAGTGGTTGCAAGTGCGACTCCAGGACAAGGGGTCTCGAGTTCGATTCCCGGATCGGTCAATGTATTACTGGGTTTAAAAAAAAATCTCAGTAGTAGCACGGAATCCGGAATTGTCCTAGATGTATGGCAATATGCTTACCACCTATTATATGGGACTCATAACACAAATAGGGAAAAGTGGGTGTTACATTGTGCAAATTTGATTAACCTAATCTAGTAAATTATATAACATCTATATTTATTAACTAATTACTGCCGGGCGGTTTCACCTTCTATTAAAGGTAATGTAATGTTCTATAGCCTATACGTTTCCTCGATAGACGATCTATCCGACACAAAAATAATTTATTTATGCTTGGATCAATAGTTGCGGAGATCAGTGCGTTCAAACAAACAGTAGATTCATAACGCAAAAATGTGTGTATAAAAACAATAAAAATGTTTCATAAAGTTTTATTTTATACGCGTATCTATTGTACTACGTCTAAAAAACTGCCCACGCGAACTCGTAACACACTTTCATTAACGCGAGCAGAAACCTTGAGAGACATTGGAATGTCCAACTACGCTATTTGTGACATAATATCGTCTATTTCCATTCGAACCGCATCCGTTCACTGTTGACTCTGTGGTACGTATTTATAATCTATAATTCAGTTCCCGCGCATCTTTGACAGCTCCCCGGAAAAACAAAGATGGCGTCGGAAAGCGCGTTTCGAGAAAAGAAATGTTATTTTTAAAATTATTTATTGTAGCATTTATAGAGCTTTTAATTTTGTTATTTTCATATGATTCGTATGCTTGATATAGCACCTAATTTTAAATCAGACTATCTCATTGGTTGAATATGTATTGGAAAAGTGCGGGATCAAATTGTTATTTCAGGTTTGGGTATCTTATATATGTGAACTTGTATGTTTGTTTGTTGTTTGTTATAAACACAACCACGGCACAGGAGACAAACCCAAATTCACATACACTTTAGAATCGAAAACAAAAATAAAGGACTCTAACCTCTTAACAGCTTTCGCGACACGGTGCAGCAGTCTGTCTCTAACCGTGCAGTCAATTTCATCACATGCTATACAATTCTATAATTTACGAATAGGTAGATAGATTTACCTAGATGTACATAATTATGCAATGTCGGAGAGCCGTGCTTCGGCACAAATGGGCCGGCTCGACCGGAGTGATACCACGGCTTCACAGAAAACCGACGTGACGCAACGATTGCGTCGTGTTTCAAGTGAGGTTACCGGGGCCCAATTACCTCCTTCCCCCTTCCCCAATCTCCCCAATCCCTGAATCCCCAACGATCCTCAAACTTCTAACCCCAAAAAGGTAACGCATTTGTAACAGCTCTGGTGATCCAGGTGTCCATGGCCGACGCCTATTGCTCACCATCAGGTGATCAGTCTGCTGGTTTACCGGTTTATGCCATAAAAAAAATGTTTGTTTTTTTTCACTTTTCATGATCCTCATGAAATAGAATCAGCCATAAACCGGACACAAGTCTAGATACCGTCCTATTCCCTACACTGTTTAAATTTGGAAAAAAACTGAAAAACTACTAATAATACTGTTACTAATCTGTTCATTAGATAGAAAGACATTATTTAAGTTATATAGAGGCAGATTTTATTCTCAATTGAACTAATTATATAAATATTTTTGTTATAAATTTGTGGTCGAAGATATGTAGGGCTTTCATTATAAATTATTAAGAAAAGCTTTTAACCTTACTTCTATCCCAAATATTTTGGCTTCAAAAATAAAACAAAGATTATACGTTACTAATGCGTTGAAGAAGAAGCTATTTCTTTAATTGTATGGATCGAATAGCATTTTAATAAAGACGATATTACGATTTAACATAACATTGCATAACATCACGCCTTTTAACCCCGAAGGGGTAGGCGGAGGTGCACATTACGGCACTTATGCTACTGTACAATGTAACACCCACTTTTCACTATTATGTAATTGGGGGTAAGCCTATTGCCTTATACCGGTCATAATTCCACACTGTGGCAGAAGCAGGGAAAGGTTCATTAGGAATTAATTAATTGTCTTTAATTCTGACGCACCGGTTCATAAAGTATAATCAATGATGTCAGAACCGCAACCAGTCGTTTGAGTTTCAAGCGAAGGGCGCGTACATTAGCAGGAAGATGGTAGTTTCTGAACATCCTTCATAATTTTTCATTCTGTTGTATGATAGAATAAAGTCAGTGTAATGATATGATATTTATATATGACCAGCTTTTACCCGCGGCTTCGCTCGCGTCACAAAAGGATAAAAGTAGCCTATGTGATATATACCAATACATATAGCGCCATCTATGCCAATACTTTTGTTTTCCCTCGGGAATATCAATTTTTTCTGGGATAAAAAGTATAGACCCTATCAGTTAATCCAGACTTCTAACTTTATGTCTGCAAAAATTTAAAGCAATCGGTTTAGTAGTTACGGCGTGAAATCGGAACAAACAAACAAACTCACTTTCCGATTTATAATATTCGTAAGGATTATATTATTTATTATTATGTACGCATTTTATTTATGGTTATGTAACTTGGATGGTTACCTCTCATAACCTTTTTTGCAACTTACCTGCAAAAAGCTAACATGCATTTCTGCCCTACCCAAAGAATGACTGGCAGAGAATGCTGTTAGCATAATTCCTTCTTATGCAATTGTACAAAACTTATTATAAATAATCATCATTATTTACACGTATAGCAATGACGTAACGCTTAAAGAATCAACTAAAAGACACAATGCAATATTAGAAAATTAAGATACCCATTTACCGTGGTATCATTTTAAGTATTTCAATAGTGCACGGCAAACACCGTTTCACCGTTTAGAAAAGGGATAATTCGCATAGAACTTTTTATACAAGACTTACCTTACACTCAGTAGAGCTGACAATCTCAACGAGAAACCGTGTTCTCGTCCCGACCTTCACGGTAAGGTCCTGCAGACGTCGCAAGAAGGTTGGGGGATCCTCTCCCGTGGGAGCTTCATCTGCACTCACTTCCAGCCGGACTCGACTCGTGTCACTCCCGGCTGCATTACTAGCCTAAAACAAGGGGAAAGTCAATTTAGTTCATATCTGATTATTGACAGTACATACATACATAACTTCACGTCTATCTCACATGGGGGTAGACAGAGAAGTAGGTATATTTGTAAAGGAATACAGACAACACATTTTTGAGAGAAATAAGACCTTATAAATGACTACAGATCAAAAGTATTACGCTAATCACAAATCCCCTATATTGCGAGTACCTTATTTTTATAGACAGTTCGAACACACTCGTCAAATAATGAATAATGTGAAAAGATCACTGCTTAGTAAAGATCACATTCCTTTTAAAAAAAGGTTTCCATAACAAGGAATTAACAAAATGTCAAGTATAAGGACAAAAGAAACACAACAGACATTTTAAAAATCCTTACATTTCTATGAAGAATCAAACAACGAACTATAAAAATTAAGTGTCGATCGATACCTTAATTTGTGCTGTACTAAATAAATACAAAAGAAAAATAAAATGAAAGTGGCCAAATTTTAAATAAAGTATATTCAGACCATGTCTTCGTTAACATCTCCTGCATGAGCGCTGCAGCAACAAGTGCACAAGTGCCTGAGGTAACGGCGGACATTATCGGTCGTCATCCTCGGAGAGACTGACCATATTGCGTGCATCGTACAGCCTATAGCCCTTATATCTAGGTGTAAGTTCAGTAATTCTATCGATCGAAGTGATGGCAGGAAGGCTTTCTAAATATTTTATAAGGGAGTCATCAAATTCTAGATGGTTCGAAAGTGTCTTTTTGTGCTATAATAGTGACCTTTGTGTCTTAAAGATTGAAAGCTTCAGGCGGTTTTAGGTCTTCTAATCTAAAGCATTTTAGGAAGACACGAGTAGTTTTTGTGTAAATGAGACTTCATGTAACAAAAAGTATGATTTTTTTGTCTTTTGCGATTAAATTATTGCGATAAACAAAACCACGTTCGTAATTCAGGAACACAATTAAAACAATAGTGACAAGTTGTTATAAACTTAAAAAGACAACCGCTATACAACACAAAATTGTAAAAGAGAGAATAATAACCTTTCTGAGAAAAAAATAATAACATCAATTTCGTCTCATGTTACATGCGTCATGCAGGTAGTAGGTAGTACGTTACCTACTCCAATAAACACGACTACAATCCACGTCTGCTTCACGCAGAATTTACCGTAGATCCAAAGGAATTCGGCCGTTACAGCCTCAAAGAGACTCAAGATTTTGTGGGGCCGATGAACAGGTGTCCAGCTATTGAAACCTAAATTTCTACAATCAAGGCTTTGATGTCCATTCAGTGACACGTTAGGCATTTTACTACAGTTGACATATAGTTTAGTTACAACTTAGAACATTTCACCTGTTTCCCTAGTAAAGGTACTGTTACACATGCTAATGTCAAGTACGAAATCATGCTTCAATTGAGCACTTGTCAGCATAACATAACCTCACGCCTTTTATCCCCGAAGGGGTAGGCAGAGGTGCACATTTCGGCACTTAATGCCACTGTATAATGTAACACCCACTTTTCACTAGTTTATGTTATGAGTCCCATGTAATAGGGGGTGAGTCTATTGCCATATACCGGGCACATTTCCAGGCTCCGAGCTAATGATTTCAAATAATCTATCAGACGGACATTAAAATAAAAAAATTAGGCATCTACCCTATTGGGTACTTACCAACTAGGCAAATTCAATACCTACTTTTTTTTTCGAACTGTCAAAAACGGCAGTTTTCTATGAATTTTGTATGATATTGTGAATTGTGACGTCATGTTATTTTTGCGTCAAACAGCATACTTATTTCTTAAACAATTGCTGGAAAAAAATCTAAAATTAAGTTGGTCATAAAATCAATTAATGAAAGTGTGACTATTTTTTGATATTTTATTGTACTGAATAGTTATTTTCGACATGTTTTTGACATAGGAAAGTACTCGATTGGGTACTGTTACGAATCGACAGGCATTCGATTTTGAACATTTTTGAGCATACTCAACAGAACGCCTATTGAGCGTGCTCAAAAATGTATGTATGCTATTTTACAGCATGTGTGTGTACCTTAAGTGTTATTGCATCCTGTCAGGGCAAACAGTAATGTGTATTACATCCGATGCGTCCAAAGGTGTGTACTATAAGTCGCGGAGAACCTAACGGGTTACCGAGGCTCCGGCTCGACGTGCAGGAGAAGGAACGGGGTGGTTTTTAGTCAGTAAGAGTCTGACACTCCCTTCCGCCTCACCCAGGCGGGAGCAGTCATTCGATGACTTTCCCCCCTTAAAAACAAAAGGTGTGTACTATGCCTATTAGCCTCGTATACATATGTACAGTCAAAGGCCAAAAGTCCACTGCCACCGTGATTGATGTTCACACGGCAATATCTAAGTAATTTCATATTAATGTGCATAAAAATATGTATGTATATTGTATATATGTATGATCTGATGAAAACTATTTATGTAGCTTAATTACTACCTATTAGTGTTTTATCAAAGTTTTATCAACTAACTTCATTACAAAATCCCTATAATTTTCCGGTCTATCATTTCATTTCATTCCATCGCCGCGTGTGATATGACCGCCCATTATACTCAAATTACTATTACAATGATTACATTTTTTTTCTGTGTGTGCAATAAAGTATAAATAAATACTTACATTCAGTGCAATTTAAATAAGCCAACATACCTGTGTACTTCAGTACCTACACTTGATTATAACAATCTTCATTCACAACGACACACGCAGCTTTCTTACATAAAAATAAATGAGCGTTACTCACTTGTAGCGTGTACACATTGGTATCTCCGGTCCGTGCTGCAGACACCGTCAACCGGACGCCGCCCGCGTCATCCGTCGTCCTGAACCGTTCGTCTAACGACGCTCCAGCGCGACTCCTGCAGATTACAAAAATATAACCATTTAGAAAGACTCTTAATTCTTTATACTAATCTTGTATCGATAATATTTGTAAGACCTTTAAATATGATACAAGATGCTAGTGCAAATCATTGACATCCCATTTATACAGCGTATCAGCATTTCAAATAATGTGGGACTAAACTATAACATTCTATGTATCTCCACTAATACACATATAAATAAAGATGAAAAAAAATACAATGAGGCTTGAAGTATATCTGACAATGAAAACTAAAACTCTAAGATGACTGAGTAAAAACAACAATTAATTATTGCACAGTAATAAAGGCGGGTTATAATAGACAGGACAATAACAATTAACGTCGTCGGTAACCGGAGCGACGCGACTTTGTGATGAATATCCGCAAGAACCGATATGCAATATCCTTTAGATCAAAGACTAGGTAGACTTGCTTACTAGCCTGTCACTGGCAGAGACTCGCATAGACAACCACGAGAGCGTAGGAAAGACAATGGTTACAAACGTCAAACAGATAGAATTACAAAGAGGTCGCTAGGTTGACACACAAACGGATTTCTATTACATAAATCATGTTGAATGGATGTTAAGACTGGATATATATTTAATACAACTTATTTATTATGACATGATTTGTCTTCAATGCCTGTTGTTTTCAGAAACATTTCTATCTCTTTAGTTTTGCTTTTTAAAACAGTATTTTTTTTACTTTTGGCTTATTGTATCTCCATTCATTTAGTCTCGTCTCGATAGTCAAAGAAAAGTTGAAGGGTTTTTTCAAATACAATTTTGAATAGTCGACAAATGTTAGACAGTTCTTCATGAATGGTCTAAGGTAAGCATTCGTTATTAACTGTCAACGAATATAAGGAATAAAGTTTGTTTCCCCTGCTAAAGTATTATATTTTGGTACATAAATATACTATGATTTTTAATTTTTAATACTCAAACGTAGAGGTAGAGATGTAACAAAAAATAAATTAAAATTATATCTTCTAATTTACAATATTTAGGGTATGTAAGATCTGCTAATTAATTAGTAGTAGTTAGTAGTAATCTGCTAATTAGTTTGTAGACTCCTATATGTATGGAATTGGCTATAGTAACTCCTGAACTAGTCAATCCGTAATATGTTTAGAGCACAAATTCTGTAGTTTGTCTTGAATTCAGTGCTATTCAACCATAATGCGATTACTAAACGATGTTTGGATGTAACCAAGAGCACAACGATACTACAAACACCCTTACATTTTCCAGAAATAAAGTTCCAAAACGGAATTTCACACACACACACCTTCACCACAACTCGAATCGACATTTTAAAACCAAATGCGACTCAATCGAATGAATTATCGATTCAAATCGATTGCATGGTCACCGCTCTTCGTGTTTTTAAACTGCGATACACAACTATTACATGGGATTTGAAACCTTAAGTTTTTATCCATAGATTTCGATTTGTCTGTTGATGAATCCGTCACCTTTTATGTGAACTAGCTTTTGTAGCGTGCATAAAATAAAGTTCAGAGTTGATCATCTATTTCTCCTATGTCTTACTAACTAAGTTTGGGTCAGTTGAGACGTAACCAGATTCAGCTGAATGCCAGTATCTATTAAAACTATCCACTGCTGCATTGCTGGAGCGACATTCATTGTAGCTAACATATGACATTTAACATTGCTAGTAGCTAACTGTCATAAATGCTTGTTGAATAAAATATTTAAATAAAAATAGCTCGCATGGAAACAAAGTAATTCAAAATAAGTAATATTATGTATAACCACTAGAGCACAACCTTACGTATTAACTAGTTCAGGAGTTACAATAGTCAATTCCATACATACAGGTATCTACAAAGACTAATTAATTAGTAGATCTTACATACCCTAAATTTTGTAAACTAGTAGAGCTTTTCTCAGTATATTCACGTGAGTAACCCGCGATTTTAGTTAATTATGTATAAGTATATATTATGTTATTTTAATAACGTCTTTGTAACATTTTTGGCTCGACTTTCGTATGCAAGAACCACAAGACTGCGAGAGGCCCAAATAAAAAATCTTGACCTATAAATACAACTCGACCACTCCAACAATCACACAAACTTATTATTTTCGACCTACAATGTACCTTTAACATAAGGGTTAAATTGCATTGCAGTCAACAAATTATTCTTATAGGTCACTTGTTCAAAGAACATCGTTAGCAAAACTAACACTCCATTCATTGAAACACAAAGTGTAGAACAAACACACTTTAATATAATCCGCTCATAGATTATGCAAATACTTTTAAATAGATAGTGACGCAGTGATGAATGAAAGCGGTTGGCTGGCGCAGCTAATTTATTTCTAGTTACGGTGACCGGTCTCGTGATATTTAGATTTGACGGCTGGTACAACAGATAAATGTAATGCTCAACTGTTCTTTGAATGTAAAGTGCAGAATATTAAGTCTCCAATCGAACCTAATCTTATATATATACTAGCTGTGCCAGCGACTTCGTTCACGTGGAATAGTGACTATGAGCAGCGTTTTTTTTTAAATATATACTTATTTTTTTTTTGGATCATAATCACAGTCATTTTGTATGTATAAGCATAGAATAGTGTTCGACGTGATTCTTTAATTTGACATAACTTTTTTATTTATGAACCGATTGACATGAAACAAACACTAAAGCATAAATGAAGCATACCACAATATATTCGTGAAAACCGCATCCAACTGGGATCAGCCGTTTCTGAGATTAGCGTGAACAGACAAACAGACAAACAGACAAAAAAAAGTTAATTACATTTTTGGGTTCGACATCGACATAACAATAACCTCTGCTATTTTTTTTATTTTTATTTTCAATGACAGACAGACAGCACTTTTCTACAATTTTATTATATGTATAAGATAAAAGAAAGTCGTGTTAGTTACACCACTTATAACTCAAGAACGGCAGAATAGATTTGGCTGAAAATTGGTTGGGAGGTAGCTTAGAGCCAGGAGACCGACATAGGATACTTTGTAACCAACATTTTTTTTTTACTTTTTACCGATAGTCACGAACGGGGACTGGAAAAAATGGGATTACGCGTACGAAGTCGCGGGCACAAGCTAGTTTTATATAGTAACATAAAAATTGACGTGTGAGACGGTAGCCTGATTACTTTCGTCACATCGTTTCCTATTTTTGCGAGTATCATAAGAAGCGACCAAAAGTCAAAATTTTTGACAATTAACACCAAATAGCTATAGAAAAATCTGAACTACTTAAACTGCGATATTAGACCCACCTGAAAATCGTCCCGGTTATAATCAACCCTTATGAGAAAGAGACCCATAATCTTGCATTGATAAATTATTATCATCCCCTGACATCAATATAAGATAGTGTTGAAAAATATGATATCACGCTTGCAATTCTCCAAAGACGGATCAAACGTGTTTTCAACTTCAGTAAAATAAAACGTAAAACATTCTTTCAACCTAAAATGCTTTGAGACAGACAGTGATGCTCGATACCTCCAAGGGACATGCACAAACCGTTTTGATTCCCACAAGCAATTTTATCAAGAAATATTCTTAGTCACTTTGACTATTAGAGCGTAAATTCCTTTAACGGTAGACAAATCTCAAATATTGTGTAAAAAGTCTGACCGCCGGTAATCGGGCGAATGAAATCTGTGCGTATTTATTTGTCATAAATTCATTTTGTTTTTAAATAATGTTTTTATAATCGTGGTAAACATCTGTATTCAACTAAATATTATATTTTGTTAAATTAAATAAATTACCCAAAATTACCGGCCTGCAGATAGAAACATAGGCCTCAACAAAAAGTTTATCTGATTTAGTTGAGGCCAAAATAGGTGAAGGTGATATTAGCGGCGCAGCCAGAATTATTTTCAGCAGTGACGTACTGGTTCCGTCTTCTCAAGATACGCTTAAAATTCTGGAGACCAAACACCCGGCCACAGTAGATAAATTCTCTCTTTTCTGGATCCTGCAGAAGCAAATATTTCATACCCTATCTGTTACAGGCCGACAAGTGGTCACTGCCATAGGCTCCTTCCGGAGCGGTTCTGTTGGAAGCCTGACGCTTGATGCCGCAGTATAAGATCTGAGGAGCTCAAGCGCCGGAGAGTCCGGCGTGACGCTACTGATGGAGCTTACGGTTTTGATCAATCTTATGCTCTCTGGCAATGTACACAAATCTGTCACCGACGTTTTGTACGGGGCCTGTGTACGTGCCCTACACAAGAAGGATGGCAGTATTCGTCCAAGATTTCTTGCAAAATTTATATCTTTCGTTTATATAATAATAAAATATTTAGCCCCTTTAACTCGGTTATGGATCGAGAGGGTGGCCAAGGTGGGAAATCCTCATGGAGCCCTCTCGCCTGGGGAGGACGAAAGGGACTGTCAGACTCTTACTGACTAAAACCCACCCCGGTGTCCCGTCTCACACATGGGTACGAGGGTGCGGGAGTCACATTCATCCGCAGCCCCCGAACTCGTGGCGGCCTGCCGTGCCAGGCCCCATCTCAAGATGCACGGAGAAGTGAGGTGTTGGTCTTCTCCGTGCAACGTCTCGGAGGTGCGCGTGGACACAACGCGCGCCACCGTCTCGGGGCGCGCCACCGTCTCGGGAGGGTGGTCAACCTACCTGAATTCCAGGAAAGGAGATCATCCTGAAGGTTGGCATTTAATTCGGTCAATTCAAATTATTTATTATCTTAAGAATTACAATATCAGAATCTGTCTGACATTGAGGCAGTCCCAGTAAGTGAAGTACCCCAAATTTTCAGTTTTCTCTGGCAATGTTATAAACACCCAACCAAATAATTATATCAGGACAACCTTTTGGAATCCAGAGATCCATTTGAGATACAGTTTTAAATGATTTCATATTTTAAAAAACGAACTTCATTCTATTGGCCTTGACCTAAATTATTCCAAGTGTGAGATATTTTTAAATTACTCTACCGACAGACAGA